CTAGATTTTGAGAAACTATTAGTATACAAGTCATGCTATAGCCTGTCCTTGCACGTTCTATGTGATAGAAGTTTTTCTCCTAGGAAGTAACCTTTAGAAAAACATGTGGAGGTTTCTTCTTCCATTTAGAAACAGGCTTCTACAATATACTGAGTATTTGTATGATTTTGCATGTGGCTTAGGAACTCTTTAAAAGTGTTTGCTGAAAAAAAATCTCAGTACAAAATAATCTTATTAAGAAGGTGCTCTTGCAGTGTTCCCATGTTTCACTGGCATTTTTTGAAGGAAATGGACTTTCAAGACTGAGAGTGGACACTTCTTTAAATTTGCAGCTTGATTGCCTGAAAACTGTATTGTACAAGTCATGCAGGAGCCTGTCCATGCATGTTTTATATGATATAAATTTTTCTCCTAACAGGAAAACTTTACAGAAAATGTATGGAAGTTGTTTATTATATTTCAGAATGGGCTCCCAATGTACTGAGTATGGGTATTTGGCCTCAAATCTCCTTACAAGTGTTTAAAATAAAAACCTGCTTCATATAAAATAATCTTACTACACACTGCTCTTGCAGTGCTTGGAAGTTTCCTTGGTGTTTTATTGAAGGAAATGGACTTAGAGAACTGAGTGTCAACACTTTATTTAATATGCACTTTTACTGTCAGAGAAACCTGTAATGTAGATGTCAAGTCATACCATGTCCATGCATCTTCTACATGATATGTTTTTCTCCTAGAATGAAAACTTAACAAAAGTGTTGTTACTTATTCCTTTTCAAAAGTCTGCAAAAATGTACTGAGTATGTGTATTTTGCCTTGAAACTCCTTAGAAATGTTTGCCATAAAAACCCTCTTGGTACAAAGTAATCTTAGTAAAAACTCATCTTGCAGTGCTTGAATGTTACACGGGTGTTTTCTTAAAGGAAAAGGACATTGGAGACTGACAATAGACAGTATTCTTTATATGCACAAGATACACAGAAAACTTTAGTTACAAGTCATGTAGTAGCCTGTACATGCATAGTATACTTTGTATAATTTTTTCTCCTAGAATGAACACATTACAGAATGTGACAGACGCCAGTCTGTGAAGTCCCCCATTTTGCTGTGGATAAAAGAATGAGTAATTCCAGACACCATTAGCTTGTCGAAGAAAAGGGAGGCAATTCTGTCTAAAGGAGAATGACCTGACTCCCTGTGCTCCGTGGTTTTTATTGAGAGGGTTACAAGCAGGGGATAGGTATCAGGAATGTATAGGTAATCTAATTACATCAGTAACTTAAGCTTACAGAGAATATGTGATGTTTAAAGAAGACAATGATAGGAGTGCACTAAACTGCTTTGGGTCCAAGATGAGCAAACATAATGGTGCCAGAAGAGATTTGGGTCAGGGTCCAGAATCTTCTAAATTTCTTTCCCAGCCTTGGGTTGGTTATCTGGTATAAGATTAACAGAAATTAAGGGAGAAATAAAGCTAGCTTCAAGGAGTGTAATATATATGTAGGCCTGATTTCTCTTGGGGGCCCTTAGACTTATTATCAGGTCTTGCCTATCAACTGTAATTACCAGAGTCCCACCGAAGTTCTACTGGTCCTCCCCCAGGCCTCAGCTTGCGCAGAACTAGAGTTTCCAATACCTCTCAAAGAAGACCCATACAACATAAAACATGTGGAAGTTGTCTATTAAATTTTAAAACAAGCCCACAAACTGTTCTGAATATGTGTATTTGGCCTAGAATTCCTTACAAGAGTGTTCTGGGGGGGGGACAAAAACACCTTGATACGATATAATCTAGTACAAACTGGTCTTTCAGAGCTTGCATGTTTGACAGGTGTTCTCTTGAAGGAAATGGACTTTGAGGACTTAGAGTTGTCTCTTTAGTTTATATACACTCTGAAATTTAGAAACCTGAAGGGTACAAGTCATATAGTAGCCTGCCCATGCATGTTCTACATGATATAAGTTTTTCTCCTAGAAAGACAACTTTGCAGAAAATGGTGGAAGTTGCTCATTTTTTTCAAAACAAGCTCCCCCAATGTACTGAGTATGTACATATGGCATAGAAACTCCTTAAAGGTGTTTGCCAAAGAAAACCTCTTGGTAGGAAATAATCTTAGTACAAACTAGTCTTGCAGGGCTCGCAGTCACACTGGTGTTTTTTGTAGGATATGCACTTTGAAGACTGAGTGGACTCTTTTAAAATTGTACCCTGATTGTCAGAAAACTTTAGCGTACAAGTTATGTGCTCTCCTGTCCATGCATGTTCTACATGACATGTTTTTCTCCTAGGATGAAAAGTTTACAAAAACATTTGGAAGTTGCTTATTTTATTTAAAAATAGGCTCCTACAATGTAATGAGTATGTGTATTTTTCCTAGAAACTCCTTAAAGGTGATTGTTAAAGAACCCACTTCACACGGTATTATCTAATTACAAAGTACTCTTGCAGTACTCACATGTTTCACCAGTGTTTTCTTTACGGAAATTAACTTTGAGGACAGTGAGTCAACTCTTCTTTTTTTTAATGTACTCTGATTGTCAGAAACCTGTAGTGTACAAGTCACCTTGTAGCCTCTCCATGTATGTTCTACATGGTATAAGCTTTTCTCTTAAAACAAAATCTATAATAAAATGTGTAGAAGTTATTCATTCTGTTTAAAAACAGGATCCCGTGAAGTGCTGTGTATATGTATTTGTCCAAGAAACTCCTTAAAGGTGTTTGGGAAGAAAACCCACTTGGTACAAAATAACGTTAGTACAAACTGGTATTGCAGTGCTTCCATGTTACACTGGTGTTTTCTTGAAAGAAATTGATTTGAGTACTGAGGATGGACTCATTTATACACACTTTGAGAATCAGAAACCTGTAGTGTACAAGACATATTGCAGTCTTTCCATGCATGTTCAACAAGATATGTGTTTTTCTTCTAGAGCAAAACTTTATAGAAAATGTCTGAAAGTTGCTTATTCTATTTAAAGACAGGCTCACATACTGTGCTTAATATGTGGTTTGGGTATAGAAATTCCTTAAAAATGTTTTCTAAAACATCCTGCTTGCTACAAAATGATCTTAGACTGGTCTTGCGGTTTTCACATATTTCAGTGGAGTTTCCTTGAATGAAATGGACTTTAGGGATTGGAGAGTGGGCTCCCTTGTTCATATGCACTATCATATTCAGTAATATGTAGTGTAGAAGTCACATACTAGCTTGTCCGTGCATGTTCTACATGGTATGAGTTTTTCTCCTGAACAAAAACTTTACTGAAAAGGCATGGAAGTTGTTTATTCTATATAAATACAGGCTCACATCTTATGCTGAGTATGTGTACTTTCCCTAGAAACTCATTAAAAATGTTTGCTAAAGAAATCTGTAATCTGGTCTTCAAATGCTCCAATGTTTCACTGGTGTTTTCTTGAAGGAAGTGGACTTTGAGGACTGAAGGTGGGCTCTTATGTTTATATACACTTTGATACTCACAAACCTGTATTGTACAATGCACATAGTAGCCTTTCCATGCATATTCTTCAAGATATAAGTTTTTCTCTTATAACAAAAACTTTAAGAAATGTGTGGAAGTTGCTTCTTCTAATTAAAAATAGGTCCACATACTAGGCTAAATATGTGTATTGAGCCTAGAAACTCCTTAAAAGTGTCTTCTAATAAAACCATTTTGGTACAAAATAATCTTAGTACAATTTGGTCTTGCAGTGCTCGCAAGTTTCATTGGTGTTTTCTTGATGGAAATTGATGTTTGGGACTTAGAGTGGACTCTTTTTTTAATATGCACTTTGATACTCAGAAACCTGTGGTGTACAAGTCATGTAGTTGCCTGTCCATGCAGGTTCTTCATGACATAATTTTATCCACAGAAGAGAATCACTACAGAAAATGTGTGGAAGTTTCTTATCCTATTTAAAAACAAGCTAATAGAGTTTGCTGAGTACATGTGTTTGGCCTAGAAACTCCTTAAATAATGGTGCTGAAAATACATGGTTGGTATGAAATAATTTAGTGTATAAACTGGACTTGCAGTGCTCGCATATTATACTGGTGTTTTCTGGAAGAAATGGATTTTGGGGACTGACATGTTAAATGTATTTTGTACAAAGGGGGTTATTAGGCAAAAGTTTCTATTAATTTTCTGGGCAAATACACATACTCACTTCAGTATGTGATGAATACTTGTGCTATGGGAGATAGAGAATGCAGTTCATCAATGAATACATTCTCAGAGAGGTACTAAAAACACTTCTATAAAGAAGAGGTCAGTTTTGAGATGGAATAAGCATCTTGCATACCGTTTTCTGTAAAGTTTCCTCAAAGCAGAAACATATTCCTGCTAGGGCATGCATGTTGAATCTGCTCCATCACTCGTATTCTATAGTTTTTATAGTTTTTAATATCGAAGTGAATATTAACATGAGATGTGTTACAGTCCACAATGAGCATTTCCCACTGAAAAACTGTTTGAAGTGTTCAAACACTTCAAACCACATGGTACTAATACCATTTCATACCAAACGTGTTAATTTTTCAGGAAACGTTTCTACAAAATCTGGGACAAGTACACATACTTTCTTCAGGATGAAATGAATGCTAGTGCCATCAGAGGTAAAGTGTAGATGAGGAAGGATTGCATTCTTACAGAAATATGAAAAACACATTGATGCAGGACACAGTTAAAGGATCAGTACAATTGTGTAAGTTTTGAAATAGAAATAGCATCTTTCACACAGTTCTCTGTCAGCTATTCTTTCAGGCAGAAAAACGTGTTCCACCTAGGACATGCATGTGTAGCCTACTTCATGACTTGTGTTCTACAGGTTTGAGAATCTCCAAGTGAACAGAAACATGAGTCATGTGATGAATACTAGTGCTATCTGAGATACATAGTGCAGGTCAGGAATGAACACATTCTTAGAAAACTTCTAAAAAATCTTTTGTATTGTCTGTGATGATGAAGTAAAAGCTAAAGGGCATTTCAGCTAAAGCCAACCCTTTAATAAGGAACGCTTCATGAATTGCATGTCATCCTTGCAGAGTGGCCTTGCAAATCTTCTCTGTATCTTCCCAATTTTAGTATAAGTGCTGCCAAAGCTAACATGACACAAATCTGTGTGCCAGACCATGAAGAGAGAGAAACACCTGTTGAATGCCTGGATTCTATTCTTTATTTTTAATTTACAATTTTTTTAATGCATCAAATAGAAATGTGAGTAATTGGGAGTAGCCTCTTAGCATAAGCAAAACCAATAAAATGTCATGATACACAATAAAATGTTAAACTTGAGATAAGCATCAGACACTTTACTTCAAGCTGTGAGGTGGGTTTTAGCATGATCTAGTAATAGTGTTGTGGCTGAATTTTGTTGTGTAGGAAGAGAAAGAGAAGTGAATGATTTAACTGTAGTGTTTTATAGTTCACTGTGTTGTCTACTGAGACCTTTGGTTTGCTGTTTGTGAAATTAAAGAGAAGTTTGGGTTAAATATTGACTTCATTTTCAAAACCCTGTGGTAGATACTGGCCAAATATATACCAACAGCACTACTCAGGGTTTGTTTTTTTTTTTAATACTGAGGCCCTAGTGAAAAATATGTTGTAACCCTTGAATATTCCTGAAAACTTCTGCCATCTAAATAAATATTACAAACTTGCTTCCAAAAACTGAAGGGAAGTATGAGATAAACAGGGTGTTCAGCCTAGGCAACAGTATAGATTCAACTGATCAATTACACCACCCATCCAGAGGCATGATGGTAAGCATTGAGATAAAAGCAAAGACCCACACTTAAGCACCATGTCCTGGGTCTAAGTGTAGTAATAATGTAAAGTATATGCTATTGATATTTTCTTCTGAGAACTTAAATGTTTCTATTGCAGTACCACTAAATTACTCTGCATATTTATCTAGATTAGCTGTTAAAAATAATGAGTGAATGATCTACAGTGACAAGGGTGTGAGATCAGCTGTGAATTTTTTCCCAAGTCAATTTGATAACAAACTGCTAATGTTTACACATGACTACTTTGTGTATACATCAGCTCAGATTCAAGGTTTTTGCTCTGATAGCTCCACTCTCGGTTGCACCTGTGTGCACCCTTGCTGCTAAGAATGTCATGTCTGATAGGAAAAAAGGTTGTGGCCCAATGAGCCAAAACATTGCATTTATTGAATTCTCAATATTTTCATTACCAGAATCTGCCTTAACTTTTTTTTAACATAAGGTTCTGAGCAGAAGTGTGCTTTGCACACAGCCCGCACAGACAGTGCCCTTGGAGGTGTAGGTGAGTCAGCCTCTCATGCCCACCGGCCTGTTCCTCTAGCTCTGGTGGCTGGTGGTGGTGACAGCAACCAGAGCAGGAGGGAGAAGGAGACACCTCCAGTAGTGAGAGGAGGAAGCTTCTCCTTAACACCTCATCTTGGCCAAGGATGGGTTCAGTGCTTTTAGCCTAATGCAGGAGACTGTCATCTGTGGGTGTTAAATATTTTAGGGTTATCAGTTAATAAAATCCATTCAAATCCCCATGTGCTAAGTGTGAATATCTATACAGCTCTTCACAAGTTTTCAGATTCTACTTTAAAGTTATATAATTTCATTCATGAACCTGAGGTCTTACCCCAGCATTGTATACCATAGATAATCATTATTTCCTTCATGAAATTAATTGAATCAACTTTCAAGAACTTCATTCCTTAGCTGTCAAGTTCACCTGTAACAATTAAAAGGGACGTATTTGACACTCATCCATTTGCACTATTAAAACAAAATCCTCATGAATTAATTTTAATAAAGCCCACAGATTCACATTAGATTCTGGATGCTTGCATCCTATTACATGCTTGGTACAATGCACACATTAAATAAATGTTTGTTGAATAAATGAAAAACCAAAGAAATGACTAATGAACCCATGACTTATCATATGGTTTAGTAATCAGGAAGTTCAGGGGGGAAGGAAGATGGCAGAGGAGTGAATGGGAGTCATGCTGACCTCCTCCCAAGACCAAACTGGAATAGCGACTAAATAGTGGAGTAATCACCTGGAAAACAATGGAACTATAGTGGGAGAGGAGCTTTGGAACCATGAACAGACAGTGGATTCAATTCTCACAAATCTCAACAGGTGAGAAGTGTGGTGGAGGCTCGAGAGGGTGCGTTCAGGGCCCACGGGCACCAGCACCAGAGGGACATTGAAACGGCCAGTTAGTTCCCACTGAGAAGAACGGGGTCTGTATCATAAACAGGGACCTCTAAACTACAGCTAAAACCAGGAAAACATAGACAAAACGCAACCCCAAAAAGCTTAGGGGGGTTCTCTGCCAGAGACAGGTGGCTGGGGATGCAAACAGACATGTAAAGGGCCAACACAAAAATTGCAGTGGCAGCCACCCTCCTTGATCTCTGGGCAGAGGTGGCAGCACAGTGGGCTGGTGCCTAGGAAAAGATTGGTGAGGAAAACTTTGTGAAAAGAACTGAGACGGCGGCCGGTGGAGCCCCAGTGATAACGTGCCTCCCACTCTGCAGCTACCATCTCGCTCGGGCATAAGGGAATCAATTAAGCTACCTTTTGTGTGCTCCACACACAGCTTGTGCGCATGTGAGTTGGGGGGTAAGTGCAGACAAGCTGGAAGAAATAGAGGATCCCTGGCCAAAGGGGTCACACAGCTGCATTGAGAGCCCTGAGGAGAGACTGGAAATGGAGGCATTGGGGGAAGAATGGGAGGAGAAACTGGGGAGTCCGGGCTCCCTCCCCATTCTGAAGTCTCCGTTTTGGGCAGGCAGGGCACGCTCCCAAAGAGGCAGAAGCGGGGCATGCAGGAACCAGACTGCCCGCGATTGAAACGCAGTCTGCACAAATAGTGGATCCTTGGCCGAAGGGGTCACAGAACTGCCCAGAGATCCCTGAGGAGAGACTGGAAATGGAGGTGCTCGGGAAAGAACGGGAGGAGGAACTGGGGAGTCCCAACTCCCTCCCCATTCCATAGTCTCCATTTTGGGTAGGCAGGGCGCACCCCCAAAGGGGTAGAAGCAGGGTGCTAACGAACCAGACTGCCCGCGATTGAAACGCAGTCTGCACAAATAGTGGATCCTTGACCAAAAGGGTCAGAGAACTGCCCAGAGACCCCTGAGGAGAGACTGGAAACAGAAACGCTGGGGAAAGAACGGGAGGAGGAACTGGGGAGTCCAGACTCCTTCTCTTTCTGTAGTCTCCATTGTGCGGGAACAGGCCACACCCCCAAAGAGCCAAAAGCTGAAAAGCACACAATAGACAGCCCAAAACCACCCAGTGCAGGTGCGCACACTCACCCAGAATGGCCGGCGAGGGTTGGCAAGCGTGTGTGTGGACCCGCGCGGGCTGGTAAGGGCTCACACAAGACAAGAGAAAGAGATAAAAGGCATCCAAATAGGAAAGGAGGAAGTAAAACTATCATTGTTTGCAGATGACATGATAGTGTACATAGAAAACCCTGAACTCTACCAAAAAAACTCCTCAACCTAATAAGTGAATTTGGCAAAACAGCAGGATACAAAGTCAACATTCAGAAATCAAAAGCATTTTTGTACACCAGCGATGCAATAGAAGAAGAAATAAGAGAAAAAAACATAGCATTCGATATAGCAAGAAGAAAAATAAACTACCTAGTATTAAATTTAACCACAGAGGTAAAAGACCTGTACGCAGAAAACTATACAACATTGAAGAAAGAAATTAAGGAAGACACAAATAAATGGAAGCATATACCATGCTCATGGATTGGAAGAATTAATATCATCAAAATGTCCATACTACCCAAAGCAATTTATAGATTCAATGCAATCCTTATTAAGATACCAATGACGTATTTCACAGAAATAGAACAGAGATTTCAAAAATGTATATGGAACCATAAATAACCCCGAGTAGCTGCAGCAATTTTGAGAAAGAAACACAAAGTAGGAGGGATCACAATACTGGACATCAAACTCTACTACAAAGCCACCATACTCAAAACAATCTGGTACTGGCACAAGAACAGACCCATAGACCAGTGGAACAGAATAGAAACCCCAGAAATAAGCCCAGATCTATATGGGTATCTAATATTTGACAAAGGGGGAAGAAGCATAAAATGGAGCTGTAATAGCCTCTTCAACAAATGGTATTGGGAGAGTTGGACGGCTACATGCAAAAAATTGAAATTGGATCATCAGCTGACACCATACACAAAAATACACAAACACAACTTATATTTAAGTCTTTTATGCGTCTTTTATCAAGACGCATAAAAGACTTAAATATAAGGCGCAACACCATCAAAGTCCTAGAGGAGAACATTGACTGGAAACTCTCAGATGCCCCATGCATCAATTTTTTTCACTGATATGTCTCCTAAAGCAAGGGACAAAGGAAAGAATAAACAAGTGGGACCTCATAAAAATAAGAAGCTTCTGCATGGCTAAAGTAAACATCAGCAAAATGAAAAGGGAGCCAACTCTATTGGAAAAAATATTCACTAATGATACATCCGATAGAGGTCTGATCTCCAAGATATATAAGGACTCACTCAACTCCACTCCAAGACAAACAATCCAATCAAAAAATGGGCAAAGGACCTGGGCAGACGCTTTTCCAAAGAAGAGATACATAGGGCCCAGAGCCATTTGAAAGGATGCTCAGCATCACTAGCCATCAGAGAAATGCAGATCAAATCACAATGAGGCACCACATCACACCGGTCAGAATGGCCATCATAAACAGATCAACAAACAACAGGTGCTGGCGAGGCTGTGGAGAAAAGGGAACACTAGTACACTGCTGGTGGGAATGCAGACTGCGTACAGCCATTGTGCAGTACAGAGTACTGCACAATGGTGCAGCCATTGTGGAAAGCAGTGTGGAATTTCCTCAAAAAGCTGAAAATGGAACTGCCTTTTGATCCAGGGATTCCCCTGCTGGGACTATACCCTAAGAACACCATAACGCCAATACAAAGAACCTATGCACCCCAAAGTTCATAGCAGCACAATTTACAATAGCCAAGTGTTGGAAGCAACCTAAATGCCCATCAGTAGATGATTGGATCAAAAAACTATGGTACATTTATGCAATGGGATACTACG